ACAAGGGCAATAATTTTCAACCACCAGTAGGGCACCTATGTTTTCGATGATGTGTTTGCTTATAGGCATCGCTATTTAATGAATATGCACTTTAATTGAGTTCTCTACATGCCACTTGGCTGCGTACAAGTCGCAATAAACATTTACAACCAGAATTACTTGTTTTCGTAGCTCAATAAACACACGAGTCACTTCACCCGCAGCGCGATGAAGCATAAATTTGAAGCGCTCGGCTCTTTTCTGCCACTGGCAACATGGCCGCCGCACGCTCGGCGCGGCTTCACTCTCTCCCGTAGCGGCGCATAGGCGGCTTCCACTCCAGCAAGTTTTATTTATCCTTATGGTATCCTCCTTAGTACCGCCATCTCGCATTTTTTCGTCATGTACTTGGATGGATGGATGGATGGATGCTATGAGCGTCCCCTTTATAACGGGGTGGTGACAAGTATGCCACCAGGCTCGACAAAAAAAAAAAAAAAAAAAACTTTTTTTCCCCTTTTTTTTATGTTGGCCTAATGCCTCTACTTCGATAAATTCTATCTTAATGGAAAAAAAGGTAAATTTTCAGCTTAAGTTCTCTGCCATTTACGGCACACTGTCCATATTTTATTTTTCCAATATTTATTTTTGTCCTTTCTCTCTAATTTTCTGCCACCAATACTCTAACCGTCTCTTACTTATTTCAATCGCGGGTGTGTTCAGATTTCCATTGTTGTCCCTAAAACCCAAGGCTTCCTGTAGGCTCGTGCCCAAACGTACACCTGGGTGGATATCTCCACATTCAATCAGAACATGCTCCGCCGTTTCCTTATCTTTCCCGCAGCATGTGCATTGTTCTTCTTCTTTACTGAATCTTGCTTTATAACTACGCGTTCTAAGGCAACCCGATCTCGCTTCAAACAGTAAAGCGCTTCCCCTTGAATTATCGTAAAATGCCTCCCTCCTTATTTCATTTTGCCCTTTCGGTAGTTACTCAGAGCCGGTTTTTTCTCCATAGCTGCCATCCAGTAAATCCTCTCCGCCTCCCTGACTTTTCCCTTAACGCTCTTTGTTGACATATGGCTCACAATACCAGCCGTATATTTACTAGTGAGTCTTCTAGTTCTTTTTCTCCACTGTGTGTCCACGCTCTTCCTATACAAATAACGGAACACCTTCTCTGCCCATCTACTCTCCTTCATATTTCTTAGCCTTTCTTCGAACCTTATTTTGCTCTGCGCTTCCCTCGCCTCAAAACCTGCCCACCCCATATCGCCCTTTACAGCCTCGTTTGTCGTCTTCCCGTGAGCACCCAACGCGAGGCGTCCCACAGTCCTTTGATTTACATCCATTCCCGATTGCACCTCTGCCCTCATGCACACCACTGAGTTCCCAAAAGTAAGCCCTGGAACCATTACACCCTTCCACAGACCTCGAAGCACCTCATACCTATTGTATCCCCACAACGCTCTGTGCTTCATTATTGCCACATTCCTCTTTCCTTATCATATACAAGTACCGCCACCCAGCGGACATTCTGAGGACTAAACGAGAGGTGGCTACTACTACTACATACTACAAACACAAGACGCACAACCCACGGCATAAGGAGCATCGCCCCTAATAAGAGACTATACTAGGAGGAAGACACTACAAGTACTGTTTTACTGCGAATCAAGAAATTATTTTATAAAATAGGGGAAACGTGATATTTGTTCGATGTTTTCACAATTACTTCACCTGCAGCCACGGCCCAGAGGCATGTTAATTGTGATGGTTGAAGACATTGTATGGCAAAATATCTGAGAAAGCTAAATTAACTTTTCGATTAGTAAAGTGATGCAGTTATTTCAAATAAGGTTAATTCATCAGTCTCACATGTTGAGAATTCATTACACCCTTGAGATTACAAAAAATGGCCTGAAGTAATGATTTTCAAATAATGCAATTCATCTAAAGTCAGCAGCAAAATGGAAACGAGAAGGAGCGCAACCGTCACATTCTTCTGAGACATGGACGAGGAACCGTCTGAGATGTCCAAAATATAGGTGAGTGTCATTATATCAACCATGAAGCAACTTTGCTTCGGGAGTGTGCGGGTGGTGCTCGCAGTTATAGGTCCCATGGTGCCCACGCTAACGAACATAAAAGACTTATACCTCTGTAACAGTTGTCTTCAACGGTGGCATCATTTGAATCATGTTTGTTGCATTGATCGGTGTTTTGATTTCGCCATTGTGTTTGTATGAATCTTATTAGGCCACAAAAAACTACTACAGGCCACTTCTTCAATGGTTTATTCGTGTGCAGAACTTGACTTATCCTGTTGGCATAGCTGTATAACCCCTCCAATAAAAAAGCTATTTTAGTTTTCTCAAGTATTGTCCCAAGTGATGTTCTTGACCATCTTAGAATGCTTGTGCCTACAAAAGTAATTTTTTTATTATTTATTTATTTTGCCCTCAGGGCTCATCAAGGCATTACGGAGGGGGGTGACATCACAGAACAAGCATTGCATTTCCCTAATATTTTTGGATTTTCAACACATTTCTTGCGATGCCAGGTATATTAACGATTTTTCATATCTAACACATTCTTTATAATCATGAAACGTTGTATAAAATTCACTACATTTGATGTTACAGCCTTATTTGTTATATCAAGGTTTAACTGCTTTATGTTTCTGATAATGTGGTCTATTAAATATACAGTATCTTTTCTTGATGACAGTAATAATTTAAAATCTAATGTTAAAATAGAAACGTGGACATGGTTTCACAACATTCTAAGGCACAAAGGAGGAACAGAACGGATGCTGTAAACATTCATTGAAAGCTGCTTGGCTTTTTATCATTTAAATATACAGGTATGTATATTCAAACACGTATTGGCATGTATGCTAGTGCATGCTGTGCAGACTACTTGTGACATCTCTTATGGTTCTGATATGCCCTGCTTAAGTGTCTATGTGTACTTATTGGTACAACACAGATTGTATATTGCAGGTTGATTGACTTGCATTATAAATTGGCACGCATAATGTGATTAATCAAGTTGTTCAAAAATAAGCTATGCAGTACGTTGGCTGGTGCTTACATGACCACAGAAAGGTCCGTATAGATAATGGAAGGCTAACTTTGCTAGAGCATTATAAATTTTATAAAATGCTGAAGGTAGTGAACCATGTGACATTAAGGGATACTAACTTTTCAGAGTTGACTACAGGTGCTTCAGAACAGTACATTACTACTTGAGGTAGTTGTTGCACTATTATGATCAGTCTGTCAGCCTAGCACTGGAGGCTGGTGCTTACATGACAAGTAAGCCATGCCTCACAGTTAGCCATGCCTCATAAATAAATGATCTTATCTGGCCTATTTGTAGCCTTCACAAGAATAGCTTCTTCCGCTCGTTGCATTGTTTTTCAATAACAGAGCTTCAAAATGCCCAACACATTATCCTACCAATATATTGATTGTTACATCATCTGCATACATGATCAATTAACTCAAGGCATATCCTGCATGGTGTGGTGTACATTGTAAGTGTCCATCAACAACTTTAGAAGTCTGCAGTGCTTTTCTTTGAAAGGTGGGCACACAAAGGCTTGCACCAATGGGCACACGCACCCGATCAATGTCAAGAGTTGAACAGCTGTGACCCCACACAGTGGCGTAACCAGGTAGTGACACAATGAGTCCGTGCAAGCCCCCCCCCCCCCCCCCCCCCCCCCAGAGATACTTTTTTCCCATGGTATACCTAGCACAAAATGACACTTGACATCTACTGCCCAGCCCCTACTTCAGATCAAGGTGGTCTCCCCCCCTCCTCCCAAATTAAATCAATGCCTCTGATCTCAAATTTCGAAACATTGTTAAACGCCTGAGTGGGACTATTTCTTTACTTGCAGAGGCAATTACGTGCTGTGCTGCTGTCATTTGGGCGAGGTTCCCTAGGACTTCTTCAGTTGCAACCGACTATAGCAATACATTTCTCTCTATAGCCACTCGCACGCCATACATGAATGTTTCCCGAGTTGCTTCAATGTCATGCAAAGAATCATCTACAAGTTCAAAAAGCAGTGCAATGTTGGCTCAAATTATCCCACCACTACATACAGAATTCAACCAACTAAATGTGGCTTCACCACACCTGGCTCTCAGTGTTGAACCACACATGTTCACAACCAGCCAAATTGATGTGCAAGGCATTACATCCATGTCCATCTTTGTGCTTGAGGCAGTAGCACGAACCATAGTTTCCTAAAATTATCTAGAGTGGTCTTTGGCGCTGCGATCGTTCAGCGACCATAGGAATGATGTGTAGTACATGGATTTGCTTAATCTTCATGCTTGCAGGATTCAAACGCACTTGCGGCTTTGTTTATTGTAGTGTTTTGGTTTTGTTTTGAATAACAGAACAGACCATTTTGAACTTCGCGACTCGATTTGAATTAGTCAGCCTAAATGATAAAAGTGGTGAAGTACAACTGCTGAACATTTGACAACTGTCGTTTTGTGACAAAGCAGTTCTAAGCCGCGTGAAGCCAGGTGAAATCAGAAGTATGAAATTAGACAAATTAGTGTATTACCCATCATTCCCTTGTTCGCTGAAGCGCCATGCGTTGCAGCTCTCATAGACACTAGAGCTCCCTTTAGTGCATTTACAGGAAACTCTATGGCACCGACAACCAAACCATACTGAATTGCCAGCATAGTAGAGGAAGAAGGCTATATTATTGTCTGTTATTCTTTCTCAATTTTCTTTTTTCTTTTAAAGCACTGGAAATGCATCAAGCGTCACATATCAGACTAACCCACCAATCTGCCATAGTTCATCATCGCAAGTGGCTGGGTCTAAGATCTGGTTGAAAGGTTGCATCAACCGCTTTACACAACATGGAACATGTGACCTTTAACAGCCTTCCACAGTGCAATGCACTCAGCTTCATTTGTGACTTGTGTCAAGGCCCCGTGGTTTTCAGGATGCAGCCAAATGAAGGTGCTACAAAGGCTAACAGAACTAGGGTGAATCATAATTTATTGCGAAAAGTGCCACAGTGCTTTCAGTATACAAAGGGCAGCATCAAAATGCTGTTACACTGCTAGAATATCCTCGAAATTAGGGATTCACAAGAGAACAGCTGCCGCACACTATGCATACATTAAAATTGTTAACAAGAACACAGCTGCAACACCAAAGTCCCAAAAGTTTCTGTGTAACAATGCACAAAGCTCACTACCAAGGTGAGCCTAAAAATGCCACAGGTAAGGCACAACTGGCAAGAAGCCATCTTACTGGGCACTTCGAGCAGCCAATCGGGGATCACGCTGGGTTGCTTGCCCTGGTTTGACCGGCGAGTGAGGTGCCTCGGTTGGAACTGCAGGGAACTTCACCTCCTCATCTATGACTGAGACCCCGCTGACATTATGTCCTTCCTTGTCTGCTGAGTCTTCCCTCAATATTTGGTTCAGCTCGGCTTCCAGCTCGTCAACCTCGGCATCTGCTGTGGACACTGGCATGCCCATCAGCCTGTGAAGCTCTTGCTGGTCTTCCAGGGCCGTGTTGATGTCGGCAACGACATCGTCGACGTTGTCCGCTTCCAGGCCTCCGTGGGCCACCTTGAGCGCCTGTGCCGCTGTCTTGTAGCCGTCGTAGATCAGCTGGATGTCCTTGTTCTCGTGGATGTTCATCTCGAGGGAGTGGATGTTGTCCAGCATGGCGAACTGCTTGTCCAGCACCTGCTGCGCCCTGCGCCGCTTCTTCATGATGTGCAGGGCCTTGTTCTGCTGACCCTGCTTCTTGGCCTCCAGCGCTTCGCGCGTGCAACGGTCGATGTCGCCCTGCAGCAAGTCGACCTTCTGATTCAAGTCCTGCTTGGCCTTCTCGAGCTTGAGCATCGCTTTCTCCTGCTCGCTCAGCTGGTTGTTGTGACGAAGAAACTGCACGACTTTCTTGCCGTCTTTTTGGAAGAGCCGCACGTAGCGCGACTTTTCCAGCCCGTTTAGCACGTAGGCGAACGATCTCTGGTCTTTGCAGATGCCCCCGCACACCTTCCACACTTCGGAGTAGGGGATGACGTCTTCCACGAACCTTTCGTCATCGCAGCGCCTCATGACTTCCTGCTGAAGCTGCCTCAGGACGTCGACGTTGACGAGCATCTCGTCGATTTCGGTGTCCGCCTCACCACTGCTCAAACCCCAAGTCCACATCCACGTTAGTGGCCGCTTGACCAGAGTGTCGAAGCCCCACTTGACCCAACCTTCGCTGGTGAAGTAGTCCTTGGTGTTTACAAGTTCCCCCGATTTCTTCATGTGCGACAGTACTGTCCTCAGGCACGCCGGCTGACTCCGCTTACGTTCGAAGGCGATAGCTACGTCGCTGGCCGAAAACACAGGCGTTCTGGTTTCGCGACTCCACTGGAGAATGAGTGACACCCAGAAGTCCATCTTGTCCTGCCATCCTTCCGGATTCAATTCCTTGGGGCGAAACTCGGCGAAAAGCGCTCGCATTCGCACATCATCCTTCCAGCACACTGGCAGGACAAAGGGGCTGCCGTCGCTGCCTTCCATGACACTCATCGGCTGGCTTGTGACAGAGAGATCCCGATGCCAACGGTCATTTAAAGACGAACTCAAAACGGGCGAACATGCGCAACGAAGGAAACTTGGACTATTCCGGCACGCACAGACGATTTTGCAACACGCAACAGAGGCCCAACGACAACAAATTCGCACCTGGTTCACGCGACGACAGCGACACAAAGCGATGGTGGCTCAGTCTTGCAAATAGGCGCTTTTCCAAATCGACGCGAGGTGACACCACCATTCAGCACTTGACGCCGCCTCAGAGTTTGACAGTGGGCTGCGCGCTCCTTTTGAAAGTTCGCAGAAAGCGCAAGTGTTTCAAGTTTCAAGTGTTTTACCTATTCGAACAATTTTTCCCATTTCTATCGTGATAGCGTGCTCTCGAATAAGACAGACCAAGACGCTGGCAAGGGTGGCGCCTAGGAGGGCACCGGTGGGTGCCAGGATGTTTCAGGGACGGGGGCTAGGTTGGGGCCCAGGGGGCCGCAACACTAGCAGACCAGTCCGCCAGCTTGGCCTGTATATGCGAATTCGGGCTCCTTATGGACCTCTCCCAGGCTTCCGGTGAGGGAGATGGCTGCAGGAGCTCCTCAGGTGGAGGGTTGTCGGGGCAATCCCATAAAACGTGGTTTTGTCCTGCCTGTGCTAGGCCACAGTTAATACACTTGTGTAGCTTTTCGTCCTCTATTGCGGCCAGCATCCTGGGCTGAGCATACGAGTCTGAGCCCTTCGCAGTGTAGTCGCTTGGGCCCGGGTTAATGCTTCATCTGGAGGTGGATAAAGCGTTCTTGGTTCTCGGTGCCGACTGGGCCGGTCTCCATAGCTGAGCGCCAGGTCACTCGGATTTGGTTCCTGTGACCGCACCACTGCCCGGTTTATGTTCCCTCGGGCTGTCTGGTGAGCGGCCTCATTTCCCGGGTTCGCACAGTGGCCCGGAACTCAAACGAGCTTTATTTTTTGTTTAGGTCGTGCTAATTTTTGCAGTGCCGTTCTATTTGTATACCCTGCAACATATGCCTTGATAGCCGACATCGAATACGATATAATAAACTTCGTGCCCTCAATGGTAGTTCCAATAGCAATCGCTGTTTCTTCTGCCTCGGTCTCGGTTGTGGAGCCGGCTTGAATGGTTTCTTTTCGCAATGTGCGTCCATAGCCATCAACTGCCTCAATAACATAATTCATCCCGCTGGCGTTACTGACGTCCACATACGCTGCTGGTTTGTTATCCAGTGCTTTTTTGAATGCGTCCGCCCGCGCTTGCCGACGTCCTTTGCTTAGACTACCCACGTTTTTTGGCAGTAGTAGGATTTCTATCTTAGCTCTGATTTCGTCCGGTATTTTAAGCATCAGTGTGGGTCCAGTTAGTAGTCTTAAGTTTAGGAGCTTCAAGACATCATGTCCTTGTCGAGTGCAGGATAGTCTCCACCATAGTGATGCTCGTTGGGCTTCAATTATTTCGTTTACAGTGTTATGTACACCCAGTTCCAAGAGTTTGTCGTTGCTGACCCAAGTGGGTAATCCTAAGGCCACTCTGTAGACTGACCCAATTAATATGTTCAATTTCCCCACCCCTTTCTGAATAAGAAAGTTTATTCCTCCTCCTCCTTATTGTTGGTGTCAGATACACTATACAAAACCGAAACGGAACACCTGCACAACGAAAACATCTGAGTGAAAAACCGACTTTGTGTGTACATCAATAAAATATATTACAGCACATTACATGATCCCCTGTGCAATCTATCCGTCTGTGCCCGTCCGTATATCCGTCCTTAATTTGCAAGTCAGTGACTTCAATGTAGACATTATGAACCTTGGGATAACCTTCACCCACTTTTCATCATTCACTTCGTGGAGATGCGTGGATTTTTACTGGGAGAATGGGGGGAGAAGGCACGGCAAGCGCCTTGAGGAATCGGGATATACATGCGTTAATTGTTTTGAATATGTTTGCATCTTGGGAGCGGTAGGGGGGTCGCAAAGAGAGGGCCCACAGAAATTATTAGGGAGAGGTTTGGGAACTCACCCCACCCCTTAATTCAAAAACAAACATGTAGTTGTATACTTATACTTTCAAACACACTAAAAAAACCCACACTGATATTGTGTCCGCTGCTGCAGACAATGTGATATCACTACGCGTGCAGCGGATTCTTCATTAGGAGGACCAAGTTTCATCACAGCCCCATTCCCCTGCGTCTGTATGCCTATGAATGTGACCACGCACTTGCAATTGTGTTGCCCGAGAACTCTTGAACCAAATTCCTCATTTTTGGGAATGTATGTGCGTGTTTGTTTTTGTATACCTTTTACTTCTAATAGTAAAGTTGTTTTAAGGCACTCATAACTTATGTGGCCTATCGGATATATGTGCCACAGAAACTGAGTAAATCAACGGGTGTGCGAAGAAAAAGTTTTGGAACCGAATTGAATAAAATCAAATAGTGATGACTCTTATAATCGAATGCTCTGCAACAAAAAAACATTTTCAAAACAGTTCTACAGTTCCACAACATTTTATTTGAAATAATCACAAACTTTAATCAAAGAACACTATAATTACTAGTAAGTAACCCAAAGAAACCACAATTATAAAAATTGAGGGAAGCTCGCATATAGCAGCCAGAGCCTTCGAAATATTTTGTAACTGTAGTTTGAAATACAGCAGTGGCTACAGTAATCAAGGTGATGTTTTGCCACCTGCCTTCGAATAAAACTGAGACAAAAACTAAGCGATTTTGTATAGAGTGCCACGAATACTGCTAAAGGTGCATCAAAACAGATAAAGCTGTCATCACATGTGTATCAGCATTCTGTAGCAGACTGTAAACATCAGTGCTGGATGCTGCATTGGCAAGAACAATTTATGCAGGCACAACATTTGCCTCTGCTGTCATTCGTGAAGCCACATGCAGTCAAAGTCCCCTTCTTGAATTACCACAATATGGATACAGGAACGGCTCCATAGTAAAAAGTGAGAATTCTCAGGAAGAAAAAAAAAACACTCATTTGGTGAAAACTACAGCATCTGTAGTCTTGTAAATGCTTGGGCTGGATGCACATTGATAATTTAATGATTAAAGAAGAAAAATGGCCTTTAGTTATTGCAAAGTTTTGTTTTTCTGATATTACACCATTGGTGCTGATTATTCAAAAACTATTTGAAGAAGATTCGGTATTTCGAATATGTACCATTCAATTTAAGTACCGAATTGAACAGAATGCCATTTCATTCCTTTATTTCACGTTTTTGAATCGCACTACCCAATCATTACTGGTGCCGCAGATGTTTGTGCGGGCTATTCCGAAGCTATTGTAAACGGGTATGTGCCACAAAAATCAGGTAAATCATTCCACTGGTTTACTAAAGATGAAGAAGGCAGCAGACAGCTCAACACTAGCAAATTGGAAAGGCAATAACGGCTGCGAGAAGACCTTGAAGCCAGAGAGGGCCTTCGTCGATTACAACCTACCCATAAATTTATGAAAGGTCTAAACACTTGATTTCAGCGCGCGTTTATGTCTCTTGAGTTTGGACATGTGCGTTGCACCTGTGACTGTGTTTTTAATTGAATATCTCCACATTTAGAATTAACGTAGAAGCTACCTAGCATCACCTAGCTAAAGACTAGCAACGACCTAGAAGCAACCAGATTAGTCGTCATATACTCGTCCAGTTTTGCTATTTCAACGGAAGGACTTGTTCCTGGGCTAGTTGGTGCCGGATCAAATTCATACTGTAGCGCGAAAATCACACTACGGAAACAAAGAACAAAGTTTTTTCAATCGTACTGTTGTTTTCTATTCTTTGCCTAGAGCCCCCTTTGGCCTGCCGCATGTATCCCTCACGCCTGACTTTTGGGCTACAGTAGGAATTTGATCGCTGTTTCAAGGCTTGCACGGCTTAGTGCAAACTTCGCAACGGCCAATTTCTTTTCTCAGGTACATTCTAAGGTGATCATTTTCAGCGATATCGTCACTTGTGTGACGTGGAATCTAGCATGCCCAAAGACTAAAGCAATACCTGCCTTCATCTTCTCGAACAGCCAGTAGCCGTGTACTGGGAGAAATAGTAAAGCAATATTGTGCACTAGAAAGACTGTCCTTGCTCTATGAAAAGTTTTATTGCAACATGCATCTCATATAGTACGTTCATTTTTTTTCATGGTATGAAGAGTTTGTATAGTGCAATAATTTTGGCTTTAGCAAGCAAAGGCGCTCCCACTCTCAATATTGTGGCAATGTTTGCACCCTGTTGCTGTTTGTACAAATGCTTGTGTAGTACGCAGTAATTATATCTTTAATTATTATTGGCTTGCATTACGATTGAACCACATGAGATCATAGCTTTCATCAATTAGGCCCCCTTTTCCTGCTTCTTATGTGGTTTTCTACAACCATGTCAAGTGGGCAATGAAAGAGTTTGATTAAAGGAGTGATAGACAGTGTTGTTCCTATGTTGTCGGCAAAATCTGCACATCTGGTCCTACATAAACGGCTAATTGCACTGAGTAGAGGTTAGACAGAAGTGCGTCAAATAAACATAAAATCAAACAAAATATCTTGAAAGGTGTTGAAATCTATCAGAAATTTATGTGGACAGACCAGTTTCATAGCCAGAGCAGCCACATTTGTGCGATACTTTTATCATTTGAATTATATTTAGTACAACAGCATTTACTTACAGAAGTTGCCAAGGGGGCTAGATGAATGTGCCAAACTGTGGAACATTAATGGGAAAGGGTGGCTCATGCCTTTCATGAGACAAGTGATTCCTACTTTTTACCCTGAAAAAAGTACCAAAAAATTTGCGCTTCCCACTTTTCTATTTATGCTTAACCAAGTGCTAAAATATTTACTCAGTTAGCACCCAGTTGGGTTTTAGACTACGTATTTCATTTCTTTTCAAATGAGTTATTTAAGACGCTTTACACACTTCCGAGGAAGTAGTTTCTCTCTACAATTGCCTTCCCACCGACTTGTGTTGCATGGCACAATAAATATACGACATCGTTTGCTGCTGCACTGTAGGGATCAACTTCAGTACTGTTGTATCGCCCACGAGGCACCGTTTGACAGAGAGGATGGGCGTGTAAGTGCCGGAGCACTAGAATGAGCATCACGCTAGGCCCAGAACCGGGAGGGGACTATTTATTCAGAAAGCGCGCATTGGTGCGTAGCAATGGTTACCAATATAGACATTGTGTGACGCCATGCGACACATCCCGTCAAAACCAAAACTGATCGGAGGTGATGAAATGCCCGACACAACAAGTACCAACGTTAACTACTAAATATGTGACTTAAGAAGTCGTCTCTCCTCATTAAATATTTTTCACACCAGCAGATATGGCAACAATTATCAATACAGTATAAAATAACTGTAAAACTTTTTCCTATACGGCAGTTTTGGCTTTGCCACGGTAATGTTCAAGTGTAAGAGAAGAATCTTGCTGAAATAAGAAAAAAATATTATTATTTTGAGCCATTATGCTGGTGTAGAGTTTTAAATATCTCATGGACAGCTGAAAAAAATTAATGAATATGTTAGATAAAATGGTTAGGTAGATGAAAACCAGGCTGGCCATGTATGAGTTAATGGTATTCTGGAAGTCGCAGAAGGAGCTCAATGAACTCGTATCGGACAGGTCTCACTAGTAGTCATATACTTAAGCGTCACCTGGTTGGAGTGACAAATGACTTGACAGCACTTAACGACATCTATAACCTGGGTAGATTCTTTATGATGCTCTTCAACAATGAATCTTTAAGTTTATGAAATTGCTGGAGCAGCAGAAACTGGGTGAGAGAGAGAGAGGAGTTTTATTTAAGGTTTGTTGTATTTTTTTTAAATGAGGAACATCTTCATACTTATTTAGCATACAAATCAATAAATCGTGTTTCATATTGTCATGTCAAAGATGTCAGACGCAGTGTTTGAGTGAGCGAATGAAGAGGAACTTTCTTTTGGTCGAAAAGTGGCACACGATGGATGAAACTGGAGGCCCTGCTAGCAGTGCTTTGAGGCCGACTTTTTTATCAAGTCACACTGTTTTATACTGTCGCACAACTTTCACATCGCACGCCGAACGTTCTTTTCATATGTGAGAAGTGCATGAAAATGTTTACACACCTACGGGAAAAAAAAAAAAGGAGCTTCATATAGTTCGCTCATTTATCTCCCATATGCTATGTACTAATATACGAGTAGTTTTCTGAAGCCTCATTTCCTATTACATGCACATGCCCGTGAAATCTCATGATGACCCAGAGCACTTGTCTGTAATGTACAGTCGGCCAAATCTTTAGCTATTGTGCATGAGTGGCAGTTTTTTTTGTGTATTTTTGCCATACGACTGAATTAAGTTTCAAAGAAGGTGAGAACAAGTGTGTGCTCACAAAGAACATGTTCAAAAAGCGATTCTTTGTAACTTCATTCCATATTATGGCTCTGAGAAACAAAAAGTGGCCGCTGCATACGACAGTTAGTTTTGGCCAACTGTACCTGCTCCTTCATCAGAAGGAAAAAAGAAGTGTCACAGGCAGGCACGAATGTCAAGAATAATCGTATCCATTTATTGCATTCTTTACAAGAGGCAGTGTGTTTTATACACTTAAATGGCCGCAGCACATAGGTGTTTGTTTATACCAGAGACATACAATAATACAACAGGTTGGGATCTTTGAACGACACACTATTGGATGTGTTTGCATGCATGTGGGATACATCATTTGCATCTTTTACAAGAAGGCTTTAGCATCTTGACCTTTCGGTACAAATACATGCAAGACACAGAGATGAACGATCCTGTTGGTGCGGTACTTTGGTTGTCTGAATAACGAACTTGTGAAATGCTTTTGCAACTGTTGGAAGCTGATTACTGACTCAGGCTTTCAGAATTTGATTGAATTATAAAAATGAAATTTATGAGAAGCTTCAAAACTTTGCAAGTTATAAAACTGATGCTCACAATTCACGTAGTATGCTTGATTTTGTAATAAAGTCATCACATGACTGTTGTAATAAAGCTATTATGACAGTCTCGTAAGTGAAATTGAAGTTTACAAATGTAATCAAGGTAAAGAAGCTTCAAAATTGACGTGGCAGTTCTGGTCACTCTAAATAGCCAGTGAGCTATCAAGTACAGTAGGCTCCTTACCAAACCTAAAGGGGCCAGGAAAATGTGTTTCGTTTTTACAGTAGTTTTGTTTACTGAGAGATAAACAGGGGTACAGAATTCAAGTACAATACTAACCAATAGAGGCAGTTATACGATTTAAGAAGCAATTTCATTCAAAAAAGCTTTATTTAATGTGAGTCTTCGGGTAGTAATTGTGATATGTGTTTCCACAGTAGAATTACCATGCACAGTCACGTATCATAATGCGGCTTGGCATAGTCAGAGTTCTTTTGCATATCAGCAGATTTTATTTAAGAGTTGGCCTTCAGCTAAGACTTAATGCACCAGTCTTTCAACTGCAACACTTCTAAGCATGAACTTGTGAGGATTATGCTCAAGTACTCGCACCAAAGAACCAAGATGACATGCACTGGTAGTTGCTTCGTGGCAAAAAAAAGCGATTCTTTTGGCTATATACATACATGTGCACTTTCACAATATACACCCACATCACTGACATGTACACTGCACTGGCAAAAAGCACAACACACCTAACTATACTTATACGTCGTAGTATAAAGGCTGTGCAGCTATGCCTGCTGGAAAGATGTCTGCAACATGGCAGTCTGAAAGGCTAAGCTGCAATTACCTGGCATCAGGAGCTCTTTTCATTACTGTTAAAAGCAGCCAGTTTACTTACACATAACTATCTAATTGAAGCAATTAGCTCACTGTACTCAATTTTAAACATACTAAACAATACTGTGAAAGCTACGAAAGCAGTCCAGCCCCAAAAGCCTTGCTCCATGCATTTCAGAGTGTTTTTGATCTGCAGCAATTTTCAAGAAATAGTTACTTGCCACATTGCAACTTGTGTATCGTATAGACACATGTTAGAGTCACACTTCTGAATTGACAGTTCAAATTAGGAGAAAAAAAAATTTCCATTGATAGAATCCATGTGATTGTTCAGAGCTTTATAGCAATATTTTCAATGAAATAAGTGGGAGAAAAAACGACTTATAATTCCTGAGTGTGAGGACAAGCTGGGTTCAAGCTCTTGTGGTAGTGATAGCAAACACGAGTTCATTGCATGGTACATGGGAATGAATGCCAAGTCATGAAGAATAGTGGGCAGTATTTTCTTCTGAGATGGAGAGTGAACACAAGCAGATTACGATCTGTTTCGTACTTGCAGTCAGAAAAAATTATACAAAATGGCATATGAATTCATGTGGCACGTAAAGTTACATTATTTAAACACGTCCTATTTAGAATTTAACAAAATTGATGCCTTAGATCACCAAATCTTAAAAGTGACAAAATTTCATATTTTGCTTTAAATTGATGCACATCACATTATGTTAATGATGGGCATTCACAGTAGGTCAGACATGCAAGTACTACATGTAGAGTACAAGAAAGTTAAACGTGAGAATTTAATTCCTCAACTGTACTCTCTGGAATTACAGATAGAGTCTGCAATACTATCAATTTGTTCATGAGCAACATAGTAACATATTGTTATTGATATACCTTAAGGGGATATCAGTTGCGTCTTTGGTTTTGGCAACTAATGTGTGACTGATTCGAGCCTGTTTATATAACATGCCTGTTAAGTAGTGACAGCTGTGAAGGCCCATGAATCAGATAATCATAAGTCCGTTGCATATGTCTCATTGAGGTGCTTTTCTAACAATTTCAAATGTAAACACACAACTTCAAATGTAAAAAGTAGTGTTCATAACACATTACACTATATTGCTGACATATGTCCTAGTGGTGATTTCTACAACACTATTTGGCAGGGGACAGTGATTTAAAGTAACAAAAGACTAACTACTATATATCCTGCAAGGTGACGTACACTTCACATAATTGTTCTGAGCTGGTTGAGTAGTTCTTATCGCCAGATATTCTACAGCAGACCTACAAACAGTGACAAGCTTACTAAGATGGCTAGGTAAGCAACAGGACTGCAAACCATTCAGCCTAGTCCAACACTTCCACCCAAACATGTACTTTTAGGGACGTCCTATTTTAGGAAAGAGATCACAGGCTGGACAGCAAAACACAACACACCAACATGCAACGCTCTAACCCGTGTCATTCACACTGCACCGTCACGCTGACGCCCGCTCTTTCCTTGGTCTCTCGCAGAAAATCTCTGACCGAATGGGAAGAGTGTCCGTTACAACCAGCATCACACCAATGTCTTTAAGCCGGCGGAAACTTCTGTGAAAGTCTATCTTGCAAGACGCTCGATCAAAACAAGCACATTTGTAACACCCAGTGCCACAAATAAGTCCTGTAGTTGACACTAGTGTGAGTAATATTGTCAGCGGTGAATCATCCGACAAGGGAACGCCCCTCACACCTGGCGTCACACCGAGGTCTCAGAATTCAGCCGAAGCACGAAGCGGTTGGACTTTGGGTCGACAATCTCCTCGGTGACGTTGAAGTGAGGCAGGGCATGGACGCTGACCAGCAGGGACACCTCACCCTGCCTGAGGAGAAACGTGACTCCGGGCTTGAGAGGCCGCGACAGCAGCACATCGCAAACGAGCGCCCACGTCTGGACTGGGCGCAACTCGCGATCGTCCTGGAGCACGGGCGAAGACTGAATGTACTTCTCGAGAAAGGCCTTTGGGCTGAGGTCATAGTGAAGGCACTGTGACAGGTGCTCTAGGATCCCCTGCATGGTGTGACGGGGCTGCTGGCGGGTGATGCGCAAGTACTTCTGCAGAGCACGGGCCATGGACGGAAAGATGGCCTGCGCGGCTTCAGTAGGGTCCATTGGAATGGCCGGCCCTATGTGCAAGAAAAGAAGAGAGGTTGATAGTGACTATATTAGGCCAGTTGGTATATGGGTTTAAAGTTCATTCTGGAGCCAGATAAATTGTGCAATGGGAAGTGTAGGGTGATCGAACAGATGTGGACTGTCCACGTTTTCAATCTTCCTCGTCAATTGGTTTTACAGTTCCATAAGAAACAGCTTCTTATGGTCGTTATTAAAAATTGTGACACCTCTTGTCTTATTTTTTCCGATAGGAAGGATTTTGAGTGAAACAGCGTTGATACCTTAGGATGCAAGGGTTTATTAACAAGTTTCTTTCTCCTAAGACTACTGTGTGATGCCTGCAGTTCAGTGTGTGTTCCAAAGTGACCACCATGGCTGTGAGTGGCATCTGCATGCAAACATATCTGGGAGAAGTATGACTGCTAAACTTATGCCGGTACAAGTGGTTAAATAGACTGCAGGGACAAAAAAAAGTGACAGAAAACAATTCAGAGTGAGTGTTTACGTTGAAGAAAAGAAGAGAAACTTTAAGGGCTCATTTTTTGGTAGACACAATGTTAATGAGAACCAGCAAAAAGTGATGCCAAAAAAAGTATAGGTGATGTTATTTGTAGTAATTTCAACATGATTGAGAAGAAAGTAAACTGAACGAAAAGATTACTTGCCACCGGCACAGACCAAACCTGCCGTCGGCAGCATTCAAAAGGCTGTAGGTTCGATCCCTTCCAGTGACACGGCATTTTTTTGTTCACTTTACTTTCTTCACATTTATGCCATAGCCATTACAAATGACATCCCCTACACTTTTCTTGCTAGTTATCTATAACGTTGACATTGATGCAACTTCTACAAAAGAAACTCATTGATACACAATTTGACTATTACCATAATTGAAGAGTGGCATGACCTGTCATGAACACAGTAAATCAGGTTTGTACAGGGAAGGAGTTACAGCAGATTCTGAGTAAACGGAAATCTGTCACACAAAACTGCTGCTTAATTGTAACTTCCTCTGGTATGATCGGTTTTGTGCTGGGATTCCGCACCCCTGTTCATTTTTCTGTAACGAAACTCCTGTTTAAAAGAAACATACTTTTTGGGTCCCTTCAGGTTCCATCTAACGAGAGTCTATTGTAGATAGAGACAAACTTGCTGGAACCTAGGTAAAATCGCCAATAAATGCCAATTGCATTGAAGGCACTTTAAAGACTGGATTAGCCAACATATATAAGCATAAGTTATGTAGAGACAGTAAACTTTGAAATACATTGTAGTTGCTTTTCCAAGTCCAGTGTCAGTACAGTCTTCCTGCAGATGACTCTGTTGTGATACAATGGTGGAAAAGGCAGTCATGTAGTTGCAGCTTGTCCTCCAATGTTGATTAAATAAATTAAATATGTTAAAAAATGCAATTTCCGTTTCCACCCCATTTTACCTCACGTCCATCAGTAGTAATTGCCAACAAGTAAACTCCAAAGTGATTAAAAAATAGAAAAAAGTAGTACCTGCGTTCATAAGCGATAATACACATTAACATCAAAATTATCACCCCATCACTAACATGTGTTTTCTGCAAGATGCTGGACGATGCTACAGATGCCCACTAATATCAAAGCTTTCTGCGCTCAAACTAGGTTTGCTCATGGGTCTGTAACTTTCTAATCACGAGCAGCTTGCCATTGTTAATAAATGCTTTTCTGTTCCCTCCGACGTCAAGTCAAAGATGCTGCAAATGCTTATTGGTCCTTTACTATTCTTAATTTACAATAATGACCTGCCAAATAAAATATCATATTGTACACATATATTAGACGACAAGTGCATTGTTTATTGCTCCATAAAAAGTGCAGATGACCACCTATCCCTTCAAAGTGACCTGGATCGTATTAAGAACTGGTGTAAATGATTGTTGATGACTCATAACATCCTAAAATGTGAAATAATCTCATTATCTGTAATTAAGTTTGTTTGCTCTTTCCTTACATCAATAACGACACATAGGCTAGAACCACGTGGTATAAGTATCTAGGCGCTCACCTCACACGAAATCATTTCTGCTACTGCTTCCAGATCATTAAGGTATCTTTGTTGTAACCTACAAACCACCACTCTTCACGCCCCCTAAACATTAGTCCAACTCCAGTTATACTTCATTCATCTGGTCACCTCATTAAAGATATTTATTACAGTAGTTAGAAGCTATTCAGAACAGAGCTTGTTGTTTTATCACATAGCACTATAACAAAAAGTCCAGTATAACCCAGTTAAAGTTCTCACTCCATTCATTAAAGGAGCACTGACACAAAATTTCGTAGGCAAGATGATGACTGAGATAGATTTATGTGGAGACATCTACGAAATGTCAAAGACAAACATAGCCTAGAACACATTTAAAATCAATCCTAAAGCGCATGCTGCACGACTGAGTGAGATGTGGAGTCTCTCGCGACGCCGTTGTCAACGCGGCAGAAATGTAAACAAACCTACATCACCAGTTTGTGCTGCCTGGTCGCTTGCGCTTGTGCTATCTGCGATTTCTTTGTTCGTGCCTGCAGCTTTGCCTGTGCTCACTGTGCTGGCTAAGCAATAACTTCACAGTTTTGCATGGTCGCGTGGCCAGCTGCGTTTTCCTTGCCACCAGAGCTGCTCCTGCCTAGCTCGGTGCTCACTCATTGAAACTAAAACTGCCACTGGGCGCTCTAAAAATGCCTCTAAATAGATATTCGCCGTGGACTCATGAGAATGAGGCTTCAAGACGTGATAAGTGAATTGGTATTGACTGCAGACAATAAATTTGTATTGTTGTAAAGAAAGAAATAGATAAAAATAGTCTAGGTGTTGCAAAAAATGAACTAAATTTTTGTGTCAGTGCTCCTTTAACAATACGTTGTGACAATGCCCCCTCGTCTCTGTTTCACTAAAATGCCAATGCCGCTCGATCACCGCTAGCACTGTTGCATCATTCTTCTCACTTATCACACAGATTACACAATGACTTCAGCTACACTGGCGTCTATGACACCGCTAAGGCTTTTAACTACTCCTCACTCTCGTATGTTATGCATCTATGGAACAATCTTCCATGCAGCGTTGCTTTGCAGCAATAAATTTCGCAACCGTCTTATCAACCATTTCACTGATAATGCTTAGCTGGTCCGTTGGCTCCCATGATTCATGCATCCCCCCCTTTTTTAAAGCTTAATTAGCAAAGTGATGCAGTTGACTTAAGTTTTGTGATTTCAACTAGTACCGGTAAAGTTTGCAATTTGTTTACCGTGCTTCCATGCAATCAGTCCAACACACTGTGGCATTGCTTTCTTTGTGTTTCAATCTTGCCGATTTATCATGTTTTACAGCCTAACATACATATGAATAGTTTTGTAGTTACACAGATTTGCTGTACTTGCCACTGTTTTATGTTATTCTACATTATTCTTTATTTCGTGCACCAGCTTTGTATTTGATGTAAACCCTACGCTTGTGTGGATAATAATCCTGGTCGAATAATTTCGAATCTAATTCGAATACTATATATTACATATTATAAAGAAAAATTGTCATATTTGTCATGACCCTGATAGCCTGCACAATAGTATTTTTAAGATTTAAACAAGACCAGCGCAAATGTTTTTCGCTTTATTTTGTTCAAGAAAAAAATGGAAACAACTTTGAAAAGTAGCTGAAGTTCACTTTTGAGAGAATGTAAGTGATAACTTCTAAAATATGTTCCTTTTTAAAATTTACTATATTTTGAGCATATAAGCTTGTACAACAACTTTTTAAACTTAAAAAAATGATGAACCAATGTGAGGGTAGTAAGTTCATTTAACCTTGAAGTGAAGCCTCATGACAACCAATTTCTTTTGGGTAGGTGTTTTCACGCAATAATTTAAAGTTAAATTGAAGCGAATTTGAATACTGTAATACTCACTTGAATATTTGAAGCATTCGAATGTTCAGATAAGCCTAGTTAACCCAAATCGTTCTTACTTAGTATCGATGCCCCTTACACAATGCCTCCACAAACCCCGAGAGGTATTTGTAACTAACTAACTAACTAGCTAACTAAATATGCATATGAAAATGCCTTGGCAAGTTCCTCTGGACAGCTGTAGAATCAAGTTACTTTTTGTGGCAAATCAGGTACTTCAGACTCCTAATTTTATGCCTTTTCAGGCAGCTCTCATGTAGGAAAAATGACCAGTCAGTAGACTTAAGTTAGGACAAAGACCAGCAATTGATGTCTTACAATTTACGAGCAGGAGTGAGCACTTAGACATAAGAGCATACACCTAGTAACTAGTTAATTAGCTTTGAAAGTTGTTGACACTTGGTGATGCTGTGAGGTGGCATTGCAAGCAAAACACACTGTGAACACTTGCTAACTGAACAACTTTCCCAAGAATGTATGTAGTGTGCATCAATATTAGTACTATTCACAGTTGGCCATGCTGACATGACTTCAATGCTCAGTGAGCAACAAGAATTTCTTGCTCATATGGTGAAGGAAGTGGGCTAAATTTTATTGGGTCCTTTAAATTCTACAGATTTTACTTCACACTGTAAAACAGGATCTTATAAAATAAAACCTAAAATAACCAGGAAAATATGTTTAACTTATTCGAAGATTTAAATTTTAAGGACAGGACGTACAGGAATGCAGTAGCCAGATACAAAAGCAACAGAATCTGAGTGGTTAGAGGTGGTTGTTACGGTTAACTAACACTTCTATTTAGGTTATTTAATTCAACTGACGTTCTATCATTACTGCTTTAGTACTGAATTCCTCTTTAGACATCGCTTGACTATGATTGCCCCTTCAAGTCAATGTGGAGTGAATTCAAGTGTACTTTTTTTCTGAAGGTAAAAGGGGGAGTCCCGGTACACACCATTTTCATCTTGCATTCGTTTGATGTGAGTAAATGCTTCCTCGGCTGCTGACACGAGCCTGGCTCTGCGCTTCCGCACTCTCCGCTCGTATTCATGCTCCTCGTAAAATCGATCATTGTGACCTGACCGTCGTCCAGGCAGAACTGTCTGGTTTAGCGGAGCTTGGTCATCTTCTGCGACACCATCAACGTCATAGACCTGGAAACATAAAAACAACATACTTCGTTTTACGTACTTTTCGGACCTGGGCAGCAGTTTCACAAATGTGAAACCATTCAGAAAGCATTCTGTAGATGTAATAAGTTGTGTCTAAAAGCCAAGTTGAAGTAAAAACAAGCAAGCAATGGCAAAAGAGGGAAAAGGAAGAAAGTTGCAAGCTGTATCACTCAACTTTCAAGAATAACTAAAGGGTTGGTATTCTTAAAGGGGCTTCAAAGAGCAAAACGATTTTTTTAGTATTAGTAAAGCACAGTTTCACGACCCCTAAAGCACCGCTCTTACCGCTACTTGACGCTTAGTAAGTGTGAAAACATGCAAAAAGAAAATGCGAGTGGAGACGCCACCTTTGAACTCCCGCACCAAATGCAATTAAGTCATAAATTTTGAAGCCGTTTACTGAGTTCTGCATAGTTTCTAATCGATAAAATGAAAGTACATTGCCATCTGTTGATGCCATAGACCTAGTATATGAAGTTTCAAAAAATGGCATCAAGCCAATGTCGCGAAAATATAAAAAATACGTTTTGAAATTGTCGACACCACGTGCAGAGATTTCAGCCCTAAATTCAAAAATGAAACGTCAACCCTTGATTTTCTCCGCTAATAATAAACTTATGATAGTGAAACGTATGGCATTAGAGTGCTGAAAGTGCAGTTTGTCTATCTAAACCAGTTGTGGTTTCTCTTTAGCACCCCTTTCAGTACTGCTTTAGTGCGAGATAACAGGCAGTGCGATGGTTTACTATACTCTCTTTCACTACGTTGGTTCAGCAATACCAAAGCTACGGTGTGTGAAAGAGCCACAAGCTTGTGCAGCGAAACGTAGTCCTTCTTCAGCGAAAACAAAAAAGAGAGAAAAGGAGCGTTGCGGTGGGAGACACGAAGGAATGCGTTGACAAAGAAACAGATATACGAGAGTCATGAACAGCGCCGGAGAGAAACAGTCTCAAAGTGAAGTTATCTGCCGGCATGAGATTCTACCGATCTTTAGCAGAGCAACAAATTCAGGCTTCTTCAACCTCCCGGTGTAATTGCCTGTTTATTGCCTTTCCTGCATTTTTAAGTTGATAAACTAGCCATAATTACTATAATTCATTAAGCAGATGCTGTGACTACGGTGGGCAGACAACACGGAACGAATGAATACATGTGCAGAGGCTGAGTGCCCTTCCCATTGGTTGAGGGGCCTTTAGCCTCCACAGTGCTGAAGAGAACTTCTGAAAAAAAAAAAAAGAGTATAGATTGATGGATTCATTGGATTTACTGAAGTTCATCAAATTGATCAAGCATTAAATTTTTTTTATAAATTTCGCCTTACTCAGCAATCTTTCAGCCTCTCAGCTGGTTCAGGTGATAGTACGAATGCCTAGAAAAAGTGTTGGTCCTGAACTTTATTCCCACACAATGTACCTCCAAGGTTTATCAATAAATTAGTCTAGTTTTCTTTGCCCTTCATGCTGGCATCAGGAGAATTAAAACTGTTGTTCTTGTGAATGTTGCTGAATGCCGCATGACTGGCTTGTCTTGTTAAACAACATCCATTGAACATGATATCAGCGGAAGCAGTCAATGAAAAACCATGTTCCATGTCTCCATAAAAAGTTAAACAAAACCATGTTCCATGTCTCTATAAAAAGTTAAACCTATGAGCTCGGTGAAAGCAATGATATGTGAGTCGATGTTACAAAGTGTATGCTTTTAGAAAAAAAAACAGTAAGCAGCAGACTGGCTCCAGACATAAAAGTGAGCATGGAAAGACTGGGAGAAAGGAAATATATGTTGATGTATTCGATTGATAATGACTACACATGGTTACATTGCAGTACCTTGCCTCATTTCTTGCTCATTTTTTCTTCTCTGTCCTCTTATTTGTCTTTCTGTTCGGCCCAGGCATAGTAACAATTGTGAGAATAAGAAAAATTTTATGTTTTGCCTTTCACAATTAAGTACTGTATGCAATATAGATTTTTTCGTAGTTTTTGTGCATGTAAGTTGAACATAAAACGAGATTCTTCTTTGATAATGGAAGTCAGCATGAAGTTTGGGTGAAAATTGAACATTAGAACATGTAGAATTCCATGAAAAAGTTTGCTGTGCCATGAAGCTTCCTGCCGCTGGGTTCCAGCTGGTTACAGCAAGATGTAAATCATATGCATTATAATATTTTGCATAAAATCATCCAATCAGCAAGTAATGCCGACAAAGTGTGCAGTTACCCCTTATATTTGTGTCACTGAAATAAAACAAAGTGAATTCCGTACAACATAAGCTTGGAAACCATGTACAGAATGAGAAATGAAGACACATTTTCTGGTCATCTACCAAAAACGGCAACCTGCCTTGAAAGCCTGCTGCTGCTGTTGCTGCTTTCGGTGACGACTTGGAACCGTTTCCAGGTAAGGGTTGTAAATGGGAAAATCCTGCATAATGAAAACAAGAAATGCATGTTATAGAAGCGCATTACAACACAGAGCTATTTGAAGTTCAATACATTACAGCTAAGTACAATTTAAGACAAAAATATTGGAACATAGTGTAACTGCAATGAAGTAAAGAGCTTTTTACAAGCCACGACAGTTACGTTTGGTTACATCTGTTAGGTAGCGTGGGTCGGGTGACGCTGCAACAACAGCATGGGTGCGATATAGACAATACAACTTTATTGCCATCGTGAAAACCAAACACTGGCGCAAATGAAACAGGCGAACATTAGCAATATATATACATTTTACCCTGGAAGATGGTGTTTCTCAATAATAGGGTTGACTGACCAGGATAAGTTATGTGCTTACTTGAGCCACTAGCGTTAATACACAATTAATAACGCTGAAAACCTAGCCATCGTGAAAACCAAACACTGGCTGAAATGAAACAGGCAAACATTAGCAATATGTATACATTTTACCCTGGAAGATGGTGTTGCTCAATAATAGGGTTGACTGACCAGGATAAGTTATGTGCTTACTTGAGCCACTAGCGTTAATAAACAATTAACAACGCTGAAAACCTAGCCACATTCGTATTCACAAGAAGTTCCTATATGTTTCAATGAAACAATATTTTACAAGTTTCTATGCAAAATTACACAACCATGATTAGTACTGGTTAGATAAATAATGAAGCTAAAGAGATCCTAGTAACCCCTACTACTTGTGGCTACTTTCAGTTGCTTCTTAGACTGGTCTTCAGTTGAACTATTGCAGAAATCTAGTGAAATTTCTTTAGTCTACAGTTTACGCCCTTTTAGCGTCTATTCGCCTTCAAAGTTGTGCCTTGTTTGGATTGAACTGCTGATACACTGTCATAACTTGACTCAATTGGCTTTAGTGCTGACAGTGCATTCACATTATCAGAAATACAGCTTAACAGTTGCCCAAGGTCATGCAGAATGAAAGAGGGCTGCATAATAAAGAAACTAGGCTTGAAGCAGGCCAAAATTGTGAAAAACAGCAATAAGTTTAATTATTTAGCGATTTGCCATAATCAAACATTAAAAACATGAAATGCCAACCTTTTGTTTGTGTGGTTTTTGTACATCTAAGATATCAGCGGTAATGAACAGGGTCTCCAAAGCAACTGTGAGAGGCTGTTAACAGCCATATCATAGTATAGTGGCGATTGAAGTTATGATTAAAATTATTTTTGTTAAATGTTTCGTATTGAGGTGTTTCAGGGTTCCAATCAACATGCACCAATCAATACCTCCAATCGCAATGCTCGGGGCCGCCGCTCCCTTACTATATAGGTGTTTGCAATTTATGGTTGCTTCAATGCTGGAGGACTGAGTGATCGGTGAAGTTTGACTTGTCAAATATATGTCGACGTTACGACCAGTGCAGTGGTGGATGTCTGTGCATTTATTCTGCTTATTTTCGGTGCCCCAATTCAGCTCTGAATGCAGCAATGTCTCTGGTTTTCATCGTTGCGGTCTGCAGAAATGTGCTCCATACAAATATTTAGCCGTTACAAAAATATTGTTTCCCTTTGGTTTCCTTCACTAACCACCATTGGCTTCACAAGGATGTGACTAAAAAAAAAAGCGGGTCCTTCAGTTCACCTTCTTTTTGTTGACCCACCTGATAGTACTTCTCGAGCATCCATACAGCTGCCCTCTGTATACTGAGCTGGCCGACTGTGTAGCTCCGGCTCTGGCCATCGGGTGAGCGCACAATCTTCACATAGTACTGTGGCTGCAGCTGCCGTATTTCAACAAGAATGACAGCCATGTAGTGAATAAACAGAAGGGAGTCCACCAGGGACAGAGCGAACTGCACTATGCTCAGGTACGTCAACTCGTAGTCCTGGTGGCGTCGCTCGTAGATGCGGACACAGAAGAACAGCCAGTATGAGAAGATGAACACAAAGACCAGGGCGAGCACCACCGCTCTCAGGATGAATATTCGTGGCATCGTTGCACGAGGCCTTCGCACGAATAGAGCCCAGGTGGCAACCGCGAGGATAAGCAGCTTGAATGCGAAGCTGATGAGAAGGCCGTCACACTCTGGTCCACACTTTTGCACTTTCCACTCTAGAATTTCGATTCGTGGTAGCGCTACCATCACCATCGGAGAGAGGAATGCCGCTAAGGACAGAATGCTCGTCAGCACTGTCCCGGCCCACATATGGCAGCGAAAAAGCCCTCCGGGCGTGCCTTCCGGCTCCCTACCGAGCCTCGACACGTCCTCGGCGCTCATTGAACGCTCGCTCGTGTTTCCCGTGATGGCAGTCGTGTTGTCGCCCCAATTATCATCTTGCGGCAGAATCTGCACCTCGATGACCTCATCCCTTCGATCGCCAACCTTGACTTGCGTGGGACACGACCGAGTGGAGCGATGCGAGTGCCTCCGGCTGGCACGGTACGACTGATGGGGACCATCCTCTTGCTTTTGCTGTTGCTGCTGCCGCTGTTGGTGGTGCTGCTGGTGGTGGTTCTGGATGTTGTTGCTGTGGTTATGGTGTCGAGAGGACGACGACCTCCGGGACCGCTCACTGGGGCCTGACTTGACTGATTCATTGTCGTGTGACATCTTGAAGTTCGGTGGCAGCTGAATCCCACCGTGGATGTCCCCTGACCAGACGGACATGGCCAGGCCACCTGGTTGTCGCTGTCAACACAGCGTCTTCTGCAGCCTCAGCTGCACACCTGCGGTGGGCGAAGAAAAGAAACCCTTTCCTTAACACTTACTTTGAATCGTATACAAATCTTATTTGCTGCAACTTCCGCACAGGGGCGTGCTGTAGCTGTCAAGCTACAGTACGCCCCTACAGCACGGCCATGAACCACACCCAATTTTCACATAAATTAAACACTATGATCCAGATAATTGCACAAGTCGGTAAACATACTACAGCATCAACAATTAATAAAGGCAGGTATTCACGCATCACTTCCAGAGCAACATACTATGAGAATGCAGCATAAAAAAAAAAGAGATTTGAAAAAAAGATGACCTGACATGTATATATGTCGTGTTCCTTTAAAAATCTCAAGTGGTTCGGAAGTGCTTTGATAGGAGCTGGTTGGTGTGAAACAAATGCGAAGCTTTACCATGGATATGCCTAACATGAGGATGAAGATTGATACAAGAACAAGACATGCAAGTTGCATGGTCTTTTTATATTCATTTCAGGGATGCAAATAATCAGTGGGAAAAAGAAACACTGAATCTTAACTGTGAAAATATACATTGAGGTGTGAATGTGCTGCTTGCAGTGATGATTGAATGAAACTACTGCTTTAAAGAAAAAAAAATTTATGACACTAAGACTTCTACTGCCTTTATTTGCCCATGAACTTGAGTACAAACAGAAACACTTTGCTGCAGCTCACAAGACATTGAAGTGACTGACGAACTAAACTTCGATCTTGAGGGCAGTTGTTTATTCGGGAAAGTTGTAGGACATCACAATTTACGGCATACCTACTATTTGCAGACCAAAGGTTCGACAAAATTGGACATTTGCCATATTATAGGTGATATTGAAGCTGGCTTCACCTGGCATGCAGAAAATGTGGCCTCTATGTTATGTTAGACTGAAAATAGGTGTGAAAAAGAAGTGCTGAAATTAGTATGAGGGTGCTTTAAAGAATCTGATCAGGCGAATCGGCATGTCATCTTAAGTACATAAGTATAAGTGTTTGAATAAAAATACGAGGACAGCAACCACAAGAGGATAAACCATGTATTGAGGTTTCATTACCAAGAATGGTGACTTCGCTCAACAAGTTCTGGTTTTCGTATTTTTATTCATTGATTCTTCCCGACCAGACGGGTGTCATTAGAAACCTTGATTGCAAGTAGGCTGCTCATTATTCGTATGTGGAATGTGATGCTTATCTGTGTTTCTTTTTATTTATACAGAAGCACAAAATACTTTCACTTGTCCGCACAAAGCACCGCAGTGACTGCCTGTGAGCTCCATGCAAAGCACATGAAGTAAAATATTTATACTGCTGTTTTCTTGTGTATAAACAGAGTAAAGAAACAGATAAGCTCCAAACATCGCATAAAAAGATAAGGTCCTCCGCTGGTGCGTCTGAGATGATTGGATCTTACATATATCATCAACAAGATATTTAGCCACTTATACATCAAAGGTAGTTTCAGTGCGAAATAACAGAGTGGCTACATTTTCTGTATGCAAGTCTTGATATTGCTACTAAAATTCCATGATAAATATCCAAAATTGTTTACTTATTTATTCTACTCTCTGGGGCCTATGGCCAAGGGTAAGTTCTTACAAAAAAAAAAGTGAGTATAGTCAGATTGTACAAATAAATTTTATGTAATATAACTTCAGCTTACACATTTACATACTAATGCATCTTATATAGCTGATATATCACAAAAGCTAATTATAAATTGTTAGCTAATGCAACAAAAAGCCAGCCAATATTACAATGTTATAATGGAAGAAGTGGCCATAATTAATACAAACAATGCCATGTGGAATTCTCTTTCTCTCGTTTGATGTATGAGCCAAAAATTAATTGAACAAATTTTTCTGTTGCATGAAGGGATGCCTACTTTATGATGGTGATCAATACATGGATATATGCTGTGTGCAGCATCAAAGTGATTTTTAGGCAGTGGGTAGTTGTGATGCCCTGTGACTTTCCCACATAAGCAATGGCCCTCGAGTGGGTAACTGAACTGTTAATTATAGCGAGTTCATTGTTATTTAGTTATGTCAGTGGCACTTCGGCTGCAGCGAAGTGTTCCTGCCTTGATGTAGAGCTTGTGTGTGTAGGCGGCTGGAGCCTGCCAAGCATACTATTTTTATAACATATCTGCCTTGAAAAAAATTTAAGAACAAAATGAAGAACAATCCTTATGCATGTACGTTTTAAGCACAGTATCGCAATTCGTCATAATGCGACCCGATAAAACCATTTTATGTTCTATAAAAACTTCATAACCAAAGAAAGCACTGTTCATCCATGAGCATGACTAGACACCAATAGGTTCCCTTATCACAATTACCTACTAGGCCATTGCTCGCAGAGCAAGGTGTTTCGGTTAGGGTTCTCTACTACGTACCCGAAGGTCGTGGGATGAAATCCCGGCCGCGGCGGCCTCGTTTCGATGGGGAAGAAATGCTAGATAGATAGAGGCTTATGTACCAACCCCATTGGTGAAGTTGGCCCGAACTCCCTCAATGTGGTTAAGGCCATAAAATCCCCGAAACGATATAGTTGTTATATGTTTCTAGCGGTGCCTTCGCTGCTCATAGCCTGTGTTTCCAACAAACTATATATGTTATAACAACTCCATATATCATAATTAATATGAATAAGAACTAGTTTTTTTTTTTTTTTGTCAGACACAACATTAGTCAGAACTGACAAGTAAGCCTGTGAAGAGGTTGAGAAGAGAACTTATTACCAGCAGCAAAGAGAGGACAGGAAGATGTAGCCACAGTTTTTGGCCACAAAGCTTTCATTGAACAGAGTGGCGGTACCGTGGCAATAATGTTGCTGTGCTTGGCCCGGATAGCGGGAAAGCCATCTATCCGGAATTTGTGACAGCGGTGTGTCGCGCGCCGGGTATCGAACGCACGACCTCTGCCTCCGCAGCGCAGCACGCTACCGATGTAGCTACTGCACAGGCGCAGACCCGCCGATGTAATCGAATGAGTGCCCCCTCATAAGTTCGATCAGACTTATATTTTTTGAAGCGAAAGTCTCTACTAGGGTTTACACGCACACTTCATGAAAGCAGCGTGCACAAGAGCTTTGACAAATTCAGTTTCAGCCGCAGCGCCACTACAGTACCATTCGCAACTTCTAGAACACAAGTTGTGCGACTTCAAATCTCGGAAGCCATGACGAACGCGAGATGGTTTTGCACGCTATCGGCAGGTGGCGCTAACGTCCTTGCAACAAAATATTAGAGCGCATCGGGCGAGCTTCGCTAGAGCCTGGCGCGTTTTTTTGATATTCTAGTGTTATTCTAGTGAATCGATGATGAATATTCTATTCATGGTCGATTTAAAACGGCAAAGCTTGCACTAAGTCGCCCAAGCTTGAAACAGCAAACCTGGATGACTCTGAAGTCTAATCTGGTTGGTTCTAAGTTGTCGCTATGCTTTAGCTAAGCGATGTCAAATTGCTTTAGGGTTCTCGGCGCAGACAGGTTCAAGTTGATGAAACCACAGACAGTCACAGACACGACACGAATGTCCAAACTCCAGTTATCGCTACGGATGCCACAATAAACGCCAACTACAGTAAACCCCCCTCTTCTATTTTACTGCAGTCACGACCTAGGCGAACAACTTGCACATGTAATGATTAATTAAGACACATACAAAGAAAAAAAAAACGGTAGGCTAAATTTGAACAGATTTCAGTGCGAAATTCAAATATGGTGCTTTGACTTTGATTTTTTCCTCCAAGTAAAGAACTTAGAAAGGTAAGACAGTTTTCAGAGAACGTTCGCTCTAAACCAATTAGTTGTTTCATTTCAGTGTCCTTTTACTAACGGGGCTGCTAAACCTCGCAGTAAGGGCGGCGTCAGAGTACTCACGCGCGTATGCTACGCATGGTAAAGTATGGAAAGGGAAGGTAAAGACAATTGAAGGTGAGGAAGGAAATGAAGAGGGGCGAGTGGAAACGTGGTATAGGCATACATTCCAGTCGAGCAAACATTGTGGCCGTACTATTTTTCACCTGCTCATGCGTTCTCACTAATCAACCCCCCTTCGTTTTGTATCAAGTGCGCTGCCACGCCTTTCCGTATAGTTTACGGACCGCGACCTCACACTCGCCTTGTGCGCCCCGTTATCGCGAACGCAATCGCGAAGAAGCATGATTATGATGAAAATAACCGATGAAGAAGAGCTTCATGTCGAACGCAGCATTATCTTCTGCGTAATCGTACACAGTTAGAGCTCCTTGCAAGGAGGACTCGCAGTCTCGCGCCATTTTTTTGAAGCTCACGTGATCATAAACGCTTCTTTCTGCATGCCCAAATGGCGGGCTGCGCGTTGCGCACGGGAGTTAGCGCGCCTTCGGGCGGCAAACGACAGTCCCCATTATTATTATTATTATTATTATTATTATTATTATTATTATTATTATTATTATTATTATTATTATTATTATTATTATTATTATTATTATTATTATTTTCAACTATCTTCTCTTTACTTCTCTGCTATATTTCATTCCCCAGGCACCCTCCATGCGCCGACCTGTTGAGGTGTCCTCGTAAGTCACGGGTCGGCACTTTTCTCTACACTTCTTCCATTCATAACCACCTAAAGAGGAGCGCTCGTTAAGAGGCCCTCTGCTACACTGAACACCGTCAGTGCGTGCGCTGGAGGGAAGGGCGCTATTATAACGTAAGGGATGCGCGGATGATGAATTTCGGAACCGAACCTAATCAAACACAAATAGAATAGTGCACGATGACGTCGAATTCAATACGAATAGTAATCAAATACTGTTGGAGTGCTAGTCGCATAGTATGTAAACCATTTTCAAAACAGCCTTAAAAGAACTTGCTGTTGGGATAGTTGGTAAAACATTTCAAAACATTAATCTGAGCGCAAACACACGACACATTCAATCAAACACACGCGCTGTGCGTGTTTGATGCCTGGGTGTGTGTGCGCCTGAATGTGTAGGATCTCTGCGCT